TTTTTTAAATGACCAAAAATACAACTTTAAAAAAAAAATCATTTTTGGCCATTTTTTGAAGGCAAAAAGTTATGCAAGCATGCGAGCTGCCAGGACTTTTAGTATGTTATATAATATGCCATTCCAAACGACTTTCTGCAAAAAAAAACTTTTATTTACAATTTTACCGCCCAGAAATTTATTTTTCCTAGACTAATATTGGATTTTAATCTGATGTCTATTAGTTTTTTTAGTCTAATACTCATTTTGGTAAAGATTAAATCCAGAAGATATCCATTCCACAACCGAAGGTACACACAGTTCCAAATGTTCAGACATAGAATGCGAAAGTAAAGAAACTCTATACACCAAATTATAAATAATTCCTATTTTGTGGCACAATGGATGTTTTGAATGGTAAGAAAAAAGTTTTCCCGAGAATGTCTTTTTGAAACCAATCTATGTAAATGGTATTTTCAATAATATTTATATATTTATTTATATATTATTTATATATTTATATTAAGATAAATCTAAAAAGCTTTAACAGCGGATACTTTCGTATTTTATAGTAAATTTTAATCATTTGTGATATCTATTGAAAGAATTTAAAATTGTATCTATGTGATCTGCCGATGCCGCTAATAAAATATCATCAACGTATCTGTAGTAAAACAGTGGTTTTCTAACGATGTTAAAACATTTTGTTCCAAGTCCTGCATTACTATTTCTGCGGCAATCAAAGACAAAGGGGTACCCATCAGGGTACCAAACGTTTGTTCGTATATGTTGCATTGGAAGAGGATTGAAAGGAATTTGGACATTCCTTTAATTGGGATAACATAAAAATACTCGACATAAAACACCACTATTATAAAAAATTCGTCTCTGACTTGTGAGCTGCATATAAAAGAACAAAAGCATGGTTTAAATTCTATTAAAGACTTAGATATGCTCGATAATTCTTACTTTGAAATACTTGACGAACTAATAGATAAGTATAAATACACATTAATATAAACAGCTTAATACCGATCACCCTTGAAAAAAATTCAAATAACATTATATTACGCGTGAGTCACGTTACCAAGCACAGTCGACACGCACACCTCGATAGATAGACATGTACAATTCGTATTACCATATTTTTCGTATCTTAAACAGCCGCACCGTCGAATTAATCGCAGATCCTTGTAAATTATGACACATTATATTGTAAAATAACTTTTATTACACCGATTTCTGTACAATTAGAGGTTAATCTGGGACCGCGAGCGTCTTCGCAATTATAACGTCCGTCAGTACTCGAAATCGACACGCAAAAAGCAGAACGGAGAAAGTTTTAAAGGAGAAGACATTCCAAGGCCGCGTCTCGAACGATCAAATCTAACAACCAGTGGCATAGAAAAATGTTTAACACAACGAAACTACAGCGTGCGCCAAAAGTATGTGATTCAATTCTCGTATTGCAACAGTAGTCGAATCGACAAATATTTATAGTGTCTATTATTTTAGGTATTATATATTTTCTTTGTATTCTAATTAAGGAAGTTTGTTAGATCACTTGCGGGGGTAGGTGGCAAGGGGAGTATGCCTATAGATCTGTTTTTGTCGTTGCATTGAACATGTATTCAAACACATATACATGTCATAAGACGAAGTAAGCAGCAATGTAACCTCGTTAGTATTTAAAATGTCAAATAAGCATACTTTCATCACTTTCTTGCTTGTATACAAAAAAATTATATGGTGGATGGAGTTCAAGTTTTGCAAAAACATAAATAAAGATTTGCTCTAACTAGTTATTAATTTTTATGTAAATGGAAGCATTTTAAATGTATATTTTGTTATTTATATGACATTAAACTATTTATTTATTAACATTATTTTTTTTCTTGATTTTATGTTACTTTTTACCTTTGCTCGTTTCTTGGTCGATTTGTCTTGTGCTTTTTGTTAATTAAGACTTAGATATCAAACTAAATTATTGCAACTGTTTAAAATTCATTATTTAACAATCGAGCAAAAATATTGATGATCCACTTGTTTAATAATTGTTATTTAATACTAATAAATTAGTATAAAAAAGGTTCTAAATCTCTCGCGTTATTTATTTGTTTAAAACGCGATATTTAATAAGTTAACAACAACATCTGAGGTCTGTTTATGGAATAAATGTTAATAAGGACTCAGAAATCGGTCTAAACTATTGCAATTGTTTAAAATTTATTATTTAACAATCGAATAAAGATATCGATTATCCATCTCTTCGATAACACTAGTTTATAGCAAAAAATTACTTTGGACCGGACTACGTGTCTTTTATAGATTTTTAGATGCTGAAAATGATGTCGCAAGCAAAAAAATTTTAGCACGTCAGATTTCCAAGATAATTGAGGTTTGATACTTAAAAAATGTCTTTTTTGCGCTATTTGACATTTTTGTATAAAGAAGCTTAACGTTTTCTTGAAATTTCAATCAGGAGTCATGAATTGTTCATCCTCTATAAAATGTATTTTTTTTATTTCAATACCTTACTTTTTAGCTTTTGTTATGGATTAAAGATAGGAGCTATTTTGAATATGGGGACTCTGGCAGCGTCATATGTGTATGCGGAATAATTTCTTAGGGTCACATTTTGATGACTGTACCTTAATACTTTTTTATTACAAAATTATGAGACTAATCCTCTGATATAACAAAAATACATAGTTGCTTTAAAAAAAAAAGTAATTTGTAACATAAAACTATATATCTTTCACAAAACAACTCTCTCCCTCCTCCCCCCCCCTCCCTCTCTCTACGTCGTGTGTGTGTGTGTGTGTGTGTGCGCGTGTGTGTGTGTGTGTGTGTGTGTATGCACGTTGTTATTGTTTTAAAGTAATTTAGCGTTACCCATAAACTATAAAATAGCTCCTATCTTTAATCATTCATAACATGGCTAAAAAGTGTAAGGTATTGAAATAAAAAAAATGCATTTTATAGAAGAACAACAAACATTCATGATTGAAATTTCAAAATAACGTTAACCTTTTTTATTAAAAAAATATCAAATATAGCAAAAAAGATCTTTTTTAAGTATTAAACCTCAATTATCTTGGAAATCTGATGTGCTAGAATTTATTTACTTGCGGCATCATTTTCAGCATCCAAAAATCTATAAAAGACACGTAGTCCGGTCCAAAGTAATTAAAAAAAATTTTTTTAAACTAGTGTAATTGTTATTTAACACTAATAAATTAAACGGAATAAGTTCTAAATCTTTCACACTATTCATTTGTTTATAACGCGATATCTAATAAATTAACTACAATATCTGAGATATGTTTGTGCAGTAATTGCTAATTAAAGTTTAGAAATTGGACTAAACCATTGCAATTATTTAAAATTCATTATTTAATAATCGGGTGAAGATGTCGATGAACCATCTCTTTGGTAATTGTTATTTTGCTAATAAATCAACGGGACAATTTCCATGCTCGTGTTATTGGCTGAGTTCCAATATGATGATGCATGATGTCATTTCATCCTTGTTTAACAGTCGATAAACAAGGATAAAATGACAAATGACGCATCACGCGCATTATGCGCTTCACGGAACTCACGTCATTATATCCTTGTCAACAAGTACGAACAAAAATATAAATGGGGTACTGAAGTGATGTTTAATTTTTTTAATAATTAAATATAAAACCAAATATTTTTTATATTTCATTTTATAAATTTAAAAGTTTACCAAAAAGTAGTGAGATTTTTAACAAAAACTCTTTTTAAGAAAAGAAAAAATTTACGCCAAATATATAAAAAATGTATTGTATGTTACATGTTTCCTAAACCAAAAATATTATTTTAACAAAAAAAAGTAATCCAAAAACAAATATGAGATCATACCAGATGCCAAGTATTTAATTAGACACAGAGACAAAAATATTTTTTTAATAAACTATTTAAACCATAGATCGGAAGAGCACACGTC